TAACTCAACGGAATCAACCAATTACATTGGCCAATTAACTGAATCGATGATTAACTTATCGACGCGATCGGTCAATTCCGTTGAGTTAATCGTTGATTAGATTTAAACTATGATGGTAGAAACAATCAAAATGATGATTGACGCGTTAACCGAAGAGTTAATTACATCCCGCTTCTCATATTGAAAGTTCTCGAGAGGGTATGGAAGGTCGAAACGATAACTTCACTTTTTCGACGTAAAATTTACTCGTCCGACACTGTTTGTGATTATTCTAAAGCGTCCTCAGATCGCTTTTGGTCGGACAAAGGGAAGAGAGGAGAGAAAAAATCGTCGCGCCGTGTGTCGTTGCAAATGCCCGCAATTATTATCGCGAAGCCGGTCATCCTGCCCGCGCGCACTGAATAGGCACGTCCGTTAAAAGGGGACCTCGTTTAATAATCCTGCTAAATCCACGTCGCGCGCTCGAGGAAATAAAGTTGCGATTTAAACCGCTTGGCCGCGAGATTTACGACGACTTTGCGTGGACATTATCGCCCCGACACACGCGACACATCCCTCGCGAACGTACGCGCGACAAAAGCCGATGTGAGAAGGAGGAACTCTTTGAGACACCAAGTTTCCCTAAAAACAAGCCACGCGACGCCCATTGCTCGGCAATGAGACTATCCGAGGAAAAATACGTCTTGCGTACTAGCTATTGCCGTGTTTTCATTCTAGTATCGCACAATGTGAGACACGCATCTGGTTGACTCATACAAAATTCTTGTTTGGATATGGACAAGCGAATGTTTCGATTGCGAGAACCAAAGTTTGGTTCCCCGAGTCAAAAGTTTGGTTCTTTGAAACGAAAAAGTTTTCTCGTTCAGAGAACCAACCCGGTTCTCACAACCGAGACATTTGTTTGTCCAAACAAGCATTATGATAAAGTCAGCTAAATAGGTTTCTCAGTGCAAGGGTAGATCCGGCATTCGTAAATTTTGACTCACATAGGGTTTCGTGGAACAACTTCCACATATGTAAGTGCCTGTATTCGTTCAATTAAAAAAAAAATGTCCTTTTCTTGCGCGGTAACGCGGTAAAGTCAACCGTAATTTCTCGCTTGCCAACCGCGGGGGTTGCTCGCGATAATTCATCGGGTACGGCGAAAAATACCGCGATGGTATCCTCAAAGCGCTCGCGACGATTTTTCGCGGCGGATCCTTTCGGCTCCCGAACCTCTGTATCTTGACCTTTCGCCGACGAAAAATTTCGCGAAACAATGCCGCCGTTCGCGCAAGAACAATGCGCACGCCTAGGTCGCGATATAAGAGCTGACCTCCGATATAAGACCCGGTCGCGTCGCTTGAATTCCTGCCGAGTAAAGGTGCCGGGCGAGCGCCGCAGGCACGCGAATAATGCAGATAAAGGGGAAATTTAGCGAGCCGGTATATACCGTACAGCGTCGCCTGATCCCCTTGGCAGCATCTCTCTTTCTCTCCGGAGGCATGACGATCTTCGGGAGATACGCTGCTGCCGCGCGAATCGACGGGATATATGCTCGCTTGGGGGCCACCGACGCGAAATTCCCCGGATCCGGGAGGAAAAAAAGAAACAGAGGGAAAAAGAAATAACTCATCGGAGGGAGCATCCGTTTCTTTGCGAACTCGTCCGCGGGACGTTAACTGCGAAACTTAACAGTGCCGTAAATCGCGCCCTGCCAACTTGGAAACGGTTTTCAGTGTCTTTAATGGGATAGTAATGATCGCGCGGCAATTTGAGATTTCGTGCCGACGATTATATCACGGGGGAGATGTAAATCTGTCCGAATTCTGAATGCGAATTCTGAGGCGCGTTCTCTGTGTCGTAAACCGAGAGGGAGAGTTAGGCTCGGTCGCCGGAGACAAGCGGTAGTCGGGTAATAAAGCCGCGACGATGCCAATCTGCGCGCGGTTAATCATCGCGGGCAACGTTCCGCGCGTGGCGAAGCGAGGCTCATGCACGCGTATGTTCGTGTGCCCTGGCCGCGCTCGATCGTAGACGCGATTTAAAAGCCCGGGTGTAATCCGAGCGGCGCGGACGACGTTCCTCGCATCCGGCGTGAAAAACCCGAAGGAGGCGGGATGTATCCTTGTCTTTGGCGAAACGCGCCACCGCGAAGGCCGTCCCGCTCATTCGCAAGGTCGGTTATTCATCCGCGCACGTTGCACAAGGATTTCGTTAAATGCGCTTTGTATTCCCCGCCAGTCATCCTCTATCGTAACGTCGGCAGAAATACCAGAATGAATGAACGAGCGACGATTTCGTCGCACGGATCCCACCACCAGTTCCGCATCTTCCTTCTCCATCATTTTTCAGCTACCAGAAGAATGAGTTTGTAAGAACGATCGAGAAGCGTTGTCTCTGGGATTCAAATTCCTCCTGCGCGACTTACCGTCTAAGAATTATGTCGGTTCGAAGATATCGTTCTTACTATTCAATACCTTTCCCCTCCAATTCGCGAAAATAATTCTTGAATACGAACAAAAATATAATATTTTTAGTGAAACTATATATATATATATATATATAGGATTTCTTCATGTAAGAGCAAGCTTTATCTTCACATAAGATTATATATTCTTGTTTATATTAGAGAAGATAAGTAATGAATTGAATTTTTTCCCCTCTGGAATGAGAATGAACGGAGAGCTTGTCGACAGGTCGCGCGTAAACGCGGCGAAAAGTAACTCGCGCGAGGAAAGACTCTTAGTCATCAGATCACGAGTTACATCATTGCGTGATTAAGAAAGAACATTTCACACACTCTCTCCCATTTTGCTACAGATCTTCCGCGCATTTCGTAAGATTCACCGCGTATTACGCGTGAGTGACCTTCGATGGATTCCTTCGGTGTTTTCTCCTCGAAAATTTCCTTCGAGCGTCATCTCCTTTCTCCCCAAGTCCTCCCTTATCTCGCGGCATTAAGCATCCTCGTGTAATTAAACTTTAAGTTACGATTCAATTATAATCTCTAAAACCTGTACGCGAGCGACACTTAAGAGAAGTACCGATGCTCATGCGGCCGTTAAGGGCACGTGGGCGGTATTTTCAGAAAGTGGAGGTTTTATAGAGCGTCGGCCGGACGACTTGCGACGGTTTAACTCGCGGCCTTCGGTTTGCGGTAACGAGCGCTACGCGGCTAATTAACGTGCTTTAATACGCAGTTCTTTTTGCGCGCTCGTAAAACCACGAGCGAAATATCCAAATCCGGGACGCGGGTGTAATGTACAGCTCGCATTAATATTTATGAATTGTTCCGCGTATTAATTATTGCATCGCCTCCGAAGTCCAGACCTGCTGGACGAACTCGAGCACGTATTGCGTACGTGCGTACTGCACGTACGCACGCACACATTGCGAACACAGCGCGAACGCAGTCGAGTTCTTCCAACCCTTTGCCCCTGAAAGGCCGTCTCTTCTCGATCTTGTGTACAAGCAGAAGTATAATTCGACAGATCTGAGGGAAGATTAAATTATCGATATTATTAATGAGGGGAGGGAAAGTTCAAACGTTGAGGGTCTTTAATATTACCTTGGCGGTGCTTCGTATAATGTGAACTGCCAATGTGGATATTCAAATGTTTTATATCGCTTATTATGTTCCATTATTTTTTCTGTACAGTTTCTATACAATATTATAATATTTACTTCAGAATGACATATTTCTCAGAGAGAATTTATGCGGGACCGGCGCTATAATGTTCAAAATTTGCCGCTGCTACACCCTTTTCATGCGTTTTTCACTGTCCAGCAACAACTTCGATCACGTGATCTATTTTGACGTTAAAAACGAGCGTCGACCGTCACCATGAAATGACACTTTCAAGCGTTATTACGACTTTTGACAGCGCGGGAATTGTCCTTTGTCGGAAATTGCGTTACATTAATTTTTTACTGTAGACCCGAACTTAATTATACGCGTAACAAAATCTGAAGCGATAGACATTGGAGAAGCCGTTTAAAAGAAACGGCGACTCCGAGTTCCCTGCTTGAGAAAAGATTCGATTTCAAATTCTCAAGTAAAAAAGTCTAGTAAAAAAAAAAAGAAGGAACACTCGTGCTCTCTAGCATGGTTGCATCGAATATGTACACTAATAAGACGGCTAGATCGGAATCACGCCCATGTGTCAAAATTTCAGCGGACACCCGTCGCGGCCCACGGAGCCCCCGACACGTCTCCTTTGTTTCTACCTGAGCGGGGCACCGCTGTCATCATCCGGATCGGAAGTATACGGGATGAATCGTGAACGTCGAGGGGCGTGTAATACCGCGCGGGGGGCTCGAGGATCGCGTGTTAGAGAGAGGGTAGAGCGGGCCCCTCGTGAAGGAAGGAGGAGGGGGCTCGCGGATAGAGGCGATCGGCTCTCTCGGATCAGCTGTGAGAGCGGCGTGGCGCCGTGTGCCGCGGCTCTGACCCGCTGTCAGTTGCCCGAGCCCTGTGCTACGGTTAGGACCGCATAATCGTCACCTTTTAACGACGCGTACGCGCCTCGGCTAGCCACGGGTCGGCAGCGCACGCTCTCTCGTCCGGTTCCCTCGTAGCGAGCCAGACGGCGAGCGCGCGCGGTAATCGGGACGAAGAGATCGGCATACGCGCGCGAGAGAGGCGAAAGGCCACCACCAGCAACGTGGGGAGCAGAGCGAGCGAGCACGATTGACCGTAATCCGACCTACGATCGGACCTCCACCCGCAAGAGAGATAGTGTCGTTGAGTCGCCAGACGTGGCCGTCGATTGAGCTACCCAGAGCTTCACGAGCGAGCGTGCCTCTCTTCTCGGTCGGTCCAGGTCGCGAGGGAAAGACAGCTCGAGTCGCGTGGTGGGTGTTTTGAAATTTCTTCGGTTGTGGTGGGCAAGTGAGCAAGCCGGCGGGGGGGTGGGGGGAGGAAGGGGGGAGACCCGCTCGGCGAAGCTGGGAAGCTGCGAGAGCGGACGATCCAGGATGCTCCGGTAGAGGAGCGAGGACAGCCCCAGCTGGTTCGAATGCGAGAAATGGCGTGCGGCATATCGGTCGACGTGACCGCCACGAGCACGGTGCTTCTCCTGCTGGTAAGCCCCCGTGTACCTAGTTTACGAGCGATCGAACCGAGAACTCGATAGCACTCCCTCGGCCACGCTCACGACGAGGCGTAGTCGGTGGACAATGGGCCCGTTGCTGGACCGGGGTCTCCTCTCGCCGTTTGTTATACTAACAGACTATTGCTACTTAAGAATCTCCGGTCTCACGAGTCCTGTTATAAGTCCGTGTTATAAGTCACCCCCTTGACGAGGAATAACTAAATAATATCAATAGAAATAATATCAAATGTTGGGAAAGTTATAAAAGTGTTGGTTTTATTTGCTTATATTTAGACTGCGTACTCAGCATTGTATAAAAAGAAAGAAAAGACACGAATCTTCGTGAAGCAAAATAATGCTGCAAAATTGACTTGTGTGTGGATGTTGGGCAAAGTCAATCATCGTGCGATTTGGACAACGAATTTTCTCAAAAGCTCCGGAATATTTAAAGCACGCGTGCCGCCAAAATGAGGCAAATAAGCAAAAAACAAGCAATACTTTCGTTCATCGCGAAATTATGAAAACAGTTTCCTATGTAACATTATATTATGAAGTTGGTGCAGTAGTTCGTTACATTTATTAACCAGAATGTAATTATAATAATATTAATAGTAATATTAATAATAAATAAATAATATCAATAATTCTTATTAAAATAATAATATTAATAATCCTCTATAACGTTTCTTTTTTGTATACAACCAATAAATTCCGCCTCAAGGTATCGCACAGTCGAATCTCGTGCCGCACATAACGAACATTTTTGCTTGGAAAAAGTTCCAAGTAAGGGAACACACAATGTGTATGTAGAGAATCATGAAAATATCGATGATTTTACACGCTACAAGTTCCGTAATGCTACGTCGGCGAACGTCGGCGCGCGCATTGTCCGAGCTCCCGCGAGATCGACGTGTGCACCTTCGCATGCGAGGTGACATTCACACACGGCGCGTGTACGCGTCGACGTGTGCACGCGTCAAGCTTAGAGTCAAGGATGCCGTCGTTATCTAGCCCGTGCTCGCTATACTTACATCGGGTATTCCCGATCCGTAGATGCACGTACGTGTACAACCCACGTCGTCGTCACGGGCGAGCGAGAGCCACCTTCGTTATGCAAGCGCGGAACATTAACTTATCGCGGTTCCTGCGGGTGCACGCGTCGCTTTTTCTTACGCAATGCGCAAGATGAGCCCAGCGCGAAAATTTCGCGCGGTTTATAGGCGAGTTACGCCGCGTGTGGAATTTACATAAATTCGCGCGGACGTCGCGAACTTAATCGACGTAACCTGATAGCGGGCACGTCCGAATGTTGATCAGATTAACGTCCCGAATAAAGAAATTGTTCGGGAACAGGGAGTAATGTGTGGTACTGAAAGTACTGAAAAAAAAACCGTTGAAGCAACATAATAATACTTGATCTAAGTAAAATATTCCAAACATTATAATGATTGTCACAAGCAATAAATTGATAAACATATTACTTGATTTGAGAGGTTGAAAAACAAGTAATTACTTTTACTTGATTCTAGCACTTTTTCTCTGTGTAGTATGCAACTCGGTGAATAATTTTTAAGAGTACAAGAAGACGTGACATTTTACCGAGGAGCAATGTTATAAATGAAACGTCAGCTTAGACAAATATGTTTATAAAAATACCGGCAAGTGATATACGGAGAATGATATTTATGGACATTAGACCCGGATGTGTCTCGATACAGTTTACTTTTTGATCGGAAAGATATCGACGGGGCCAGCGTAGGACGAGTGCTCTAGGAGGGTCGGTATCAAGATATTCGAATTGCATGTGGGCAGCGGGCCGAATGAACAAACGTGTACACGTGTCGCGCGACTGCGGCGTTAATTTTCCCGGTGCGACGGTATATAATCACGGTATATAATCACGCGAGCCGAACGTAATTAGCGCGACGCCACCGGTATTTCTCAAGGCTAATTTTAAAGGAACTACGGGAGAGGTACATTAATTACCGGATTAAACTCTCCGGGCGGCATTAATCGCGTGACCGGCTTCTCTTCGAGGAGCCACCTGAAGGCGACATAATTAATAATTAATATCCGCCCGGTGGATATTATGTACGAGGTGACCAAATTGATTCGACCGCTCGTAAATGATATGCTCTCGCTTTTTGAGACTGAACGGGGGGAAAAAACCGTGAATTTAGACGACTGTATCGACCTTCTTGATGCGTTCCTTCTTGAGATAATTTAGCTCCCCGATAATTTGCAAGTATCTTTAGTTTAATTGAAAAGACGCGCGTTCAATTAAAATTTAATCAATAATTGGCACTCACAACTGACCGTAATGCGATTTATTAACATATTAGCTGCGAAGCACTCTTAACTGATCGGTCGAGAGTACTTAAATCTTTCTTCTCGCGCGCACCGCCTCCTCGCCTTATTTTTTCATCGAGATAAATAAAAGTCTAACCGTGAATTATTACGCGGTAGTATTATCTATAGAGTGTACACTGCCGTGCTCTCTCGAGGCGAGAGATATCTCGCGCAAATGCATTTAATTATCGGCGTATTCTGGCAGTGCTCGACGATTTAATTAATTAAAAGTCGCGAAACCGCGCGCGCGCGACAATTATGTGACCGCCGATCGTAGTGATCCGGTTCTCAGCCGACTGGTTTGTTCGCGCGGACTTCCTACACAGAGAAAGATGTTTCTTCGGATTTAGCATACGTATTTCTTTGATTTGGATTTATTTAGTATCGACAATTTAATATCAATATCATTTATAATATCAAATATCATTTTGTTTGAATGCAAATATTGTTTTTACTAGAGTAAACGATGTTGTTTGATACAAAAAACAGTATTTTTAGAGAAAATATAATATTTGGTTTTTAATATAAAAAAATTTATCTCATTAAGTTAAAAATATTGTTCTGTTGAAATAAAAAAGTTCTTCAATATTTTTGTAATATAATGTTACTTCTTCCAAATAATTTATTGCTTGTGACAACCATTATGATGTTCGGATGAAAAATAAAAAGAATATGTTATTTGACGTAAAGATATTTATTGTTTGAGGAGCCAAAAATCATGTTTATTGAATCAAACTTCCTTTGTTTGCTCCATTCCAAAAGACAGATTCGTTTCAATTAAAGAAATTTTATTAAATCCGAAGAAACCCTTATTTCCGTGTACGAAACGCCTTCACGAAGCGAGATTTCGCGTTGCGCCGGACGCGCGTGTAATCGCGATTCGCTGTGATATTTTTCGGCCGCCGTTGAAAAATCGCGCACGATAAAGCGGGATTTATCGGTGCATAAAGTACAATTCGCTCGCCGATGAAACGGGAGCAGCTGAATTGGGAGCGCGCGCGAATTATGGGCTCGTACAATTACAAGCTGAATAAATAATTAATTCGTTAAGATCTGCAACACGAGCCGCATTACTCTGCATCCTGTAATTGGACGTTATGTAACGCAAGTGGCGTAAGGTATGGGATTTATTTCTAGAATGTGGAAACTGTCATCAATCGAGATGCCATTTGGAAAAAAATTAAATACTTTTGGGGGAGAAGCGTGAAAATCTTTATAATAAAACGTCGCTTTCGAAATAATTCGTGGGTACTTTAGTAGAATTTTAATCCGTTGTGCAAAAACGAGAAGACGTTGCGGAATGAGGTTAAAAGCGACACATTCGGATTCATTTTACATCAAGTCCATGTTCGCAAGCTGAAGAGTTGTTTCGTTCCAATGCATAGACACTATCTCGGCTACGCGCAGCACATGCGCAGATTTTTCACACCTCACTGCGTCCCACACGCATCAACATCGTGTGCGGTAGTGCTGTGTAGGCGGGTGCGTCTAAAAATTTCAAGTTTAAGGTGCAGTAATTTATCTACAAACGCACGAAAAGTTAACCATGCTCTCGCGCACTCATAAGAAAATCACACGAGCGAGGTCGATGGCATCCAGCTTTATCCTTAGAACGAAGAAAGGTTCTCCGATCATCATAGTCATCTCACCTAATACCGCGCTTATATATGTAATTCTCGCGCAATGTAAATAAATACGCCCCTCTGTGATGCTACGTCGAGTGAGAGAAAGATGGGCGGTCGATGTACAACAAGGAAAACATTATCATAGAATCCTGTTACGACGCGGGTGTATTTATCTATATTTCTTCGAGTGAAATCACTCTCTCAAAACGAATGAAAATTCACTCAAAGCTGTAGGAAAAATATCTCCACTCGGAATTGTGAGAGTGAATGCTTCACTCAGGTTTCAAGTGAATTCAAGTGAAACCGCATACAAGTGAATGTCTCGAGATTTGTTCCTGTGTGACGGTAGAATACATCAGATTCTTTCTTCAATCGAGTGAATATTCTCGAGTGAATATTCCCATTCAGAGTGGAGAATTCACTTTTGGTCTATTCTTTTTAACCGGACTGGCTGTACTAGTTCAAGAAATTTACGCACCTGAAGCGTGAGAATCTTGTATGTTCGCTTCAATGTATATGTAAATTTCTTGAATTAGTGCAGCTAGTTCGGCTAAAAAGAACAGACCACTTGTATTAGTGAGAAATCATTCGGGTTTGAATGACTTCTGGCTATCATTCTACTTTCCGAGTGAAACTCCGTTCCAAGAAATCTAGAAAATGCATTTGTCGAGAGCATCCTGTGCAGTAATCGCCGTCTAAAAGGATATTTATAAGAATAATCTATAATACAAGGATAACATAATACTTAATGAACAATATCGCTTCGGGCGAACTGCTTTGCGCCATGGCCAAATTATTACATTATAAATTTAACCTTCTATGTAACTTTCTCCTCCGCTCGCAAGCCTCTCTCACCTAGCAACTTCGGCGTTTTTCCCTCCGATAATGGCAGATACGAGAATGTGTACAGGTTAATGTTATGAAACCATGTCGTGTTCCACCCTCTGCATATTCCTTGCGAATTAAGACATACCCGTCGAACAGGTAGCGACCCGCGTGAAACTTAGCGACGACACC